GCTCTCCGAGTGTCATCTGGTAATCGTGAGGCACCCTCGAACGGTTATCGGGCTGTGATTCGACCGTCAAATCCCGTGATTAATGGTGATGTTTGGCCCACCAGTCTAAACACCAGTGCAAACAGAAGTGGGACAACTAGCAACCGGGGACTGACAACGTATCGAGCTAGTAGTTCACAAGCGATTGCTCAATCAAACAACACACGATTTCGAGCCGGTTCCATAGCTACAGAGCGTTTGAGTTCCCCAGATCGAGGAAGTCCGATCATGCGTATACGATCCACAGATTCGTTTCCCAACACGGATCAGTTTCAATCCAGATGGTACGGAACCGTTGGCACACTGGGTTCCCGGGCACATCGAATGCCTCCATGGAATCAGCCGATAAAAGCAGACCGAATGGAAAGATGGCGAAGAAAAAAGGATTATACTAGTCCTTATGGGTATGAGGATTACGGTGGAGGTGGAGCGCTGGGCGATAATGGAGTTGGTCTTTTGAGTGGCACTGGTGTGGGGGTGCAAATGGACAACACTGTCGGAACTGCAGACGACGATGATGTGGTATTTTCCAATTCATTGGAAGAATTGCAGAAATCCTTATTTGATCAGTTGGAAAAATTGCGCTCTTTGAATGCGGTGTCTGGGATGCACCATCGTGGACAGCTGAACAAACTGGAGGATGAGTGTAAAGAACGTGAAATGAAAATCACCGACATCAAGGAATCGGATTCAGGGCAACCCGTGTCCAATGGCAAAGATGTAGCAGACGGACTGCCAACCAGTTCCTACGAGGGCAGTGAGACTCCGACAGAACAAAAAGGACTGATTGATGAACAGTGTGAGGTAAGTTGCAAAGCCAATCAGTTGTTTCAACTCTTTGTCTGATAAAGTGAGAGAGAGCAATTATTTACGGTTTTGTTGTTTGTCACGTGAACTGATCTGAAAAGCCAAATACTTCAAATTTCGTTCAAAAGTTTGTAGAAAAATATGTTTCTAAGTCTCCACCTCTCCGGTATTTGTTCTCATCAAATTTGGGAACTCGGTAGCCTACTTTCGGAATTCAGTTTGAATACTGAACACGTATGTGAGCGCGACATGTATGTGGCATGCAACTATTAACTTGTCTCCCTTTTATACTTTTCTTTCGTAAATCAAAAGGGATTCGCCTTTTCTGAGTTTTCAATTATCTTCAGCGAAAATCAGGTTTTTACACTCTTACTACGGGGTTAACTGGTCTCACCGAGTAACAGGTCGTTACATGCTACAAAAAAGTGGTATGTCGTGTGATATGTAAAGGAAGCTGGCGCTCTACATAATGCCCTAAATGTACGTTGAGTAGTGGGTCGCATGAAAGGTACTGAGGGCCGTTATATAATGACTTGAACGTTCCAGTACACTCTCGAATTAACGACTAATTTTCCATGTTTATTTATCAACGGCCAGATTGGTCTTCATCTGTATGTCTCTCCGGTACTCATTCTAATCTCTTATAAGGGTTTGTCGTTATCAATATTGGACTATGTTTCATATTCTTCAGCAGATGTGACGAAAAGTTGAAAACGTGTTACAGGTAATCAGCATAGCTCTAATCCAAACAATAACATTTCTATTTATAAATTCCATCAGAGTTTCGTGCTGAGAAATAAACATTTGCATTTATTGCTTTCGTTAATGAAACGTGATGAATGGGTAGCAAGGAGACCTTAAAATCCGCTTAGGGATATGTTATGAAGATGATCCATTCATTATAGTTACGTTACAACTCTCAGGTGGCCTTCCAGAATGGAACTAGACTTGAATTAAAATTTTAAAATCACTGTCACTATTTCAAATGCTTGAACATGTCGTCCAAATATTTTCTCAGGTATGGCACAGCACAACCTGATACCGCACAGTTTGAAACGGATAAACTGCCGTAATTAACACTGCGTGCCGCTTGGTACTCAGTGAAACAAATCGTCAGATAAAACTCGCTTCCGCAGTAGCATTTCCCACAGATAGTTACATTTTGTCCCGTGCGAAATTGGAGGGTAAACAATAGGAAATTACAATCTCTTTGTGAATGTAATGGGAAAAGTACTTCCACACTCATTCAGCTGCATCAAAACTGTTTTTAAAACACCGGGACCCCAAACAGACTCGTGTGGCCGGTAAATTCCGAATTGATTTTGACTGTTTCAAATGACAATTCGTCGTGTATATAGCAAATGAAGCGTGAACTGAAAAGCTCGGAAGCACTGGACAGCTGTTTCGACCTGTTTGGGTCTCATCAGCAGTGCGAATCCATCGACCCGACTGGGGATCAAACCCGGGACTTCATGGGCAGAACGCAAGCGTGCTACCCACTACGCCACCGGGCAGCTGATCAGACAGTTTTTCCTTTTCAATTTACACGATATAGCACAACCCATCTTTAAGAGTTTGTTGCGGGCCAACAGTTGCGTTTTCATACAGGCGGAACTGTACGCGACGAAAATTGGCGAGCTACAAAATGTCTCCAGGCTACCAAACGTTTTCAGGCTGATCTATCACGATTTCACTGATCGCTTCCTACAATTAACAGGGAAGGTTACATAAACCGAGATACGCAAAAGTAGCTGCAAAATACTGGACTGTAAACACCGACTGGAACTCAGTGCATTTGGAGGTTTTGCACTGTCGAAACATCCGGTCTTCAGGACGATCGATCAGTTAGTTTTGAACCCCCTTATCAGTTGCTTGCATAAATAATGAACTTTTTGCAAACGCTTTCGGCACTACATTCCTATTTCTGATTCAGATAACGATTTCATGCCACGTTTTATGTATATCAGCAGGACTTTGAAATCATTGAAATTCTCTACCTTCCTTTGGTCAAACCGGGGATGAATCAATGTGGCCACACACTTCTGTGTCAGAGAAGAAATGTTGGGGCTTAATTTCATTTTGAGCATCGATGAAGTTCACTTGCAATGTGTCGTTTTCAGGGCCACAAAAACGTGGTCTTTTCTCACGAATGTGGAAATCAGAAATCCTAAGAGCAGATTACATATAAGGCTATTTCAATTAATGACCATACCCTTCGAAATGCGGAATATGTCTGTAATCACGATTACTATATGTGGAATCCGAAAAAACTAGAATACCAGTGTTATTAACCCACAAGGACGAGGAGACTTGTCTAATAAACATAAAGCATTTTCTGTACTAACAATTTCGAAGCCTATAACTCGCTCTGAGAGGTCTTGTCCATTTTTGACAGTTGTGAGAAACCGCCAATTGCATCCTTTTGCGCACTTCAACCATTCTACTCACAAGTGTAAGCAGTATCTAACAATATCAGTACCAGTTCATACTTTGTGACGTTTTGTGATATATTCTGTCTTTGAGATTATGTGAAGTATACAATACCTATGGTATCGATAAAGAACTCAAAACGCTTTTTGCACAATTTAATACTAATGCAACCCACGAAGATTCGTGGATGTTCCCAGCACTGTTTGAAGCTGTTTCCACATCTCAGCAGCCCTATCTGCAATAGGACTTAAGGTTTCGGCGCTTCATACGGGCTCGTCTTAAGTACTGTATCGGGTAGATGAAATGTGACAGGCGCAGCGACCTGATTCAGTGGCGGATCGCTATCACCACACACGGCTTACTCTAGCGATCTGTCCGGCCTCCTATGGAGTCCAGCAATTGAAGAATAACCACGGTTACACTTTTCGTTTAGCTGTTCTAAAACCGCTAGCCTTGGGCAGCAATGATTCTCAACATCCACGGATTTGCCCAACCTTATATCAGTTGATAATGGCGTATAAGTGAATATGGTGATTTAGTCGATTTGTTTCATATTTGTGTGAGATTTATTGCACTCTTGTGAATAAAAAACAGTAGCACTTAAAAGATGTAAATAAATCGATTATATACGGGTAAACCCTAGCCATTGTACTTCCGTGATGAGAGCAATATTCTGTCATTCTATAGGATGAATGAATGGAATAATAACGTGTTCGATGCGTTCCATATTTGATTTTCGTTCTTCTTTGTCCCTTCTGATCTCTCTTTTATCGTTTCACTTCAATTCTGAGATTGATCGAGTTCTATTTGCAGATGGATCTTACTCAACAAACGTTTAGTCATATGTCATGTTAGCATTTGTACAGTAATCAGGGTATGCTTGTGTGCAAGCCGAATTATCGAAGTGATCGTTATTGTACTTAATTCTCGAAGTAGTGGCAGTAAATCAGTCCATAANTCTGAGAGAAGGATTCCGAAAGACAGGCGGTCTGCGTGAATGTGTAATCGAGTTGTGAGTAAACCGAATTTAATCTGGAACATATCGATCCAGAACATCATAGTCACTGTCGGCAAATCGCTCTAGTTTCTTTTTGTAAATTATGCATATTTTCGTATTCAGCCACTCATCAATTGTTACAAAGACCCCTCCCGTATGCAAATGAAGGTGAACGGACTATTGAAACAGAATCCCTGTGAAATAATAATCATCCATATAGACACACTCTTTCAGTGGACAATTGTATGTAACGTTTTATTCACTGGTTTGTTGTGCAGNGTTGTGCAGATCAAATGAGCAATGAGATTACCTATAGTGTATATAATGCCGTCCATGAGCTAATGTGACAGAAACTTTTGAGTTCAAAAGGGCAATGAAAAAACTTGCACATGAGAGGATAACGAACGAAAGATATCTAAAAGAGAATATTTTTTGTTTCGTTGCATGCGTTTTGTGCCTTGCTCAATTTTCACACTTACTTCTATTATCAAAGAATTTAGAATAATTGAAACATTTATATATATATATATATATATAGATAGATATATATATATGAAGGAAGTGAAATGAGTAGTGAAGGATTATATTGCACAAGCAAAGGAATTGCGTGGTCCCGGATTCGATCCCTAGTTGGATAGATGGACTTGCACTTCCGGTCGAACCCAACAGGCGAGGGGGGGGGGCAACACCTGTACACTGCCACCGAGTTTCTTAGTTCACGTTTCCTATGACCTGGCCAGAGAAAATCCACCACGTTGCTAGCAGTTATCGTAAACGAATTATACAAGCCCCTTTCAAGCAAGGGTTGCCATTTAAAATTAATTTGTTGGTTAGCAGGACCTTAATCACGCGGTTCGAACATACATGGACCATAAAAAATGTTGAATGACCTGCTCCATTGTAAGCATCTGTGTGTGCACTTGCGCTAGCGAACATTTTTACCGTTCCACTCTAACAAATCTCACTCAATCGATGGGCTTGCGGTTATCTAACCGTGCAGTTTTCACCATAGAACCAAAGTACTGCATGTCACGTTTAATTCACAACGACGTGCATAATTGAATCATACGTGGCCTCATTCAAAACCCGACCGTTCCGATCAAGTGAGTAAGTTTGACCTTAGCCTGGGCTCAAGTGGTAGTACTGCAGTACTATACGGAAGCCTCAACTAGCATGAATGTATGGTGTGTTAGCGACCTCTGTTTCTACGCAAAGCATACACCCCTAAAATTCCTGAGCTTGAGATAGTAGTGGTGTAGCCGGGATTCTGTATGTGGACCACCCTCCTCCGAAATAAAAAAACTGCATGTGAGCTAGGAACACGAAGAAATGTTTGGTAGTTTCATCACCCTACATTGGTTTGCGTTCGCATTACACCATTCTGTTAGAGTTCATTCTGTTGAATAATAACCATTCTTACATTTCACTCATGGGGTAAAGTGGATATGGCGAACGCGATTAGTGGTATATCTTTTCCGTAAACTTCTTTCTGTTGCATTTAACTACAGTGCGCATAGTGACCAGATCGACCGGTTCCGATTAGTGGTTGGAATCAGGGTGCTTTATTTAT